TGCCGTGCTACATCGATGGGCCACGACGCCCGATCAGATGGTACCCAATCACGACTACGTGCGATACGAAGGTGCGAATCAGTATCGAGCTCCACGCAAAGAGTATATGTACAGTACATCTCGAATATATGATGTCGCTGCACGATATCGATGCTGCCAATTCCATGCCAGTAAGCCCTTTCATGCAGCTCGTGGCGACAGCAGCGTCAAGTTACTTTGATTTGGCGGCTCTCGTGACGCATGCCTCGCAGACCGAGTCGATTAGCCTCGCGCCATTGTCTGTCGCTCTATCGCAGCGGCCACTCGATGTCACGTACTACACGGTGCCTATCGCGACGACGCTGCTCGCGGTGCCTGTCGCCGGCCGCGCCTATCTTTGTGCAATCGATCTGCTTGAGTACCAACGAGTCCTTTGCGCCACGCGTTCTAGATGTTGCGCGCCATTTATCATTCCTCTACCAAGACCGAGCTACTTGGGGGCAACAATCGTGTTGGTGTCCGCCATGCCAGAGGTGGGCAAGGCGGGTTAGCTTTGGAGTGATACTATAAATTCGTGGATTGCTAGAGCTCGCTTGCTCTGCGTCTGGATCTTGTAACGTGTGCGTGCTTCCATATCGTGGTCTTCTAGAACGCTCGGCCTTGCACGGAAACCTCTTCCACTACTTGGAAATGGCATGCCCTTGCTCCCCAGCGTTGACGATGCTCTCCCGGTCGCGTCGTGGTGTCAGCCAAACGCGCTTGGCCTCGCGTCCAAAGGTTGATGTGTTTCTCTACGCTGAAGTCCATGCCGCGTACTTTGCCGCGAAGTACTTCAGACCTGGTGTCAATGGTAACTCTGGCGTAAGTGCTGCGGCGACACCAATTGATGCAGCAGAAAGTGGGAGCTATCACATTGTCAAGACGAGCAACTACGACCATACAACGCTCGCAACATGGATGAAGAGTCGGGACGAGGTACTGGCGCTACGACGGTTTTGGAAACACCCCCAGGTCATGCAGCGGCCAGGTGCTGGGCCGTTTCGAAGAATTTGAAGGGGTTTTTGTGCAAGT